AAAAAAACATAAACAGGGGGGCAGCCTGGGTGGTGCAGCAGTTTAGTGCCGCCTGTAGCCTGGGGTGTGATCCTGGAGACCTGGGATCAAGTCCCAGAGTCCCACATCAGGCTCCCTGCATGGAGCCTGCTTCTCTCTCTGCCTGTGTCTCTGCCTCTCTCTCTCTCTCTCTCTCTCTCTCTGAATAAATAAATAAATAAAATCTTTAAAAAAATACAAATTAAAAATTAAAAAAATTTAAAAAATAAAAAATAAACATAAACAGGCACTTCACAAAAGAAGTTCTCCAAATTGTCATTAAACCTGCTGAGAAGTACTTCATTGGCCATCAAGTAAATTCAAATTAAAATCATTACATACTCGCTCCATACATAGAATGGCTAAAAGTAAAAATAGATTGACAATACCAAGTGTTGGTGAGGATGTAGAGCAAGAGAGCAAGGAGAACTCTCATATCCACTTTATGGGAGTGTAACTTGGTATTCCCCACTTTGGAGAACTGTTTGAAAGTGTCTAATAAAGCTGAATATATGCACATTTTACCCGTTTATTCCACTCCCAGGAATACATTCAATAAAAAAACCATATATATATATATATATATATATATATATATATATATATATCGAAAGATCTATATAAAATTTGGAAACAACCCAAAAATCCATCAATAAATTGAGATATAGTCATATGGGGGAATACTACACGATAATGAGAAGTAACACACTGACACAGGAAACATGAATGAATCTCACAAACATGATATCAAGCAAAAGAAGCCAAATACAAAAGAATACACACTGTATGATTTCATAAGCCTATAGCATTCATCTGTAGAGTCAGAAGTCAGAACTGCAGTTACCTTTGAGGAGGAGTAAGGGGCCAACAACCGGGGTGCCATGATGGGGACTCATAATGTTCCATTTCACTATCTGGGTGTTGATTGCACAGTTGTGCTCATGGTGTGATAATTAATTAAACTGTCTACATGATTTGTGTTCTTTTCCGTATAAGATACATATTTTAAAAATCACTTTGGGGAACAAGAATGGAACTAGAGAGACCTTCTAAGAAACTTATAGTAGTCCAGGAAGGAGATTATGTTGCTGTGGAGGAGAGGGATTGGGTGGAGGAGACAAGCAAATTAAGTTGGAATGCATGTTGGTGGAAGAGCTTAAATGATCTGCTAACGGATTGGATGCTGAGAGAAAGGAAGAATTCTACAGCGACCTCTGGGTTTGTGGTCCAAGCGTTTGGGCAGATGTGGAACCACTGGTCCAGGTGAGGAAGACCAGGAAAGGAACCGGCACCAACTAGATGCCTTCATTTGTGACTTCATCTACTTCCCCCAGCAACTTTCCTTGGTAGTTACTTTTAATCCTCATTTTATAGAAAAAGAAACTGAGGCTGTCAGAGATGAGATGAAATTATTTCTCTAGGCTTACACAGGTCTGGAAGGAAACAGAATGGGAAGATTTTACCCAGGAGGCGATCAGGTATCACGTTGGAGCCTGCAGGCTCAAGTCGAACAGCCAAGATTTAAATCTGCCTCTGTCAGCATGCAACCTTGGGCAAGGCTCTTCTTTTTTCTTTACCTGTAAAGTACAGATAAGAGTCATACCCTCTTCATAGGGTTAATATATGTTAAGGAGCCTGATGCAAGGCAGTGGTCCTGATGCAAGTTAGCCACATCAGGGTCTGTGTAGACTTCCCAGAGGGTCGAGAAACAGAAGGTGGATTTTTAGTTCTTGAGCCAAGACTGAATTTCATTAGCATGGTGATTGCTCCTAAAAACACTGAAACAAATGATGGCATATAATGTTATTGTCACATAATAGAGATCATCGGGACAAAAATCCAAGAGCCAAAAGACATCAAGTGTGTACAACAGAGGAAATCCTGGCTTGACTGGGTGTTGGCCACCTGGGTGCCAATATGCTTTTCTGTATGTTGGAGAGGAAAATTGTTGTGATTATTTCAGCAACCATTTTGGAGGGCTATATTCCAGCTTCCCCAAGGTGCTCTGAGGTAGAAGGCCACAGGTGTTTACTTTCTTGAGTTAGTAGTCAAAGAATTCTGCACTCTTGGTTTAATTGGTGCTTCTCATCACTTCTCTCTTATTTGAATCATTGTAGTAGCCTCCAAACTAGACTCCTCCAATTTCTTCCTTGTCAAAGAATACTTCCTGAGCACTTACATTGTTCCAGGGTCATTGCTAGGTGCTAGGGAACAATAACAATGAACCCACAGGTATGATGCCTTCATGGAGCTTCAGATCCACATCACTCCAGAGTGATAATTCTGTTAGAAAGAAAGCACTTTACAGATTGTAAAGGACTGATCCAATGTTGTTACTGTAGGATAATCAAGGTAATGACGGCAGTTGTTAAAGCAGAGTTCCTGCCTTCCCACGTGGCTCTCCGCTGCTTGTAGGATAAAGGCATAAGCCAATTCCAAGCTTGGGAATGATCCCAGTCTCATTTCCCAGTCCCTATCCCTTATATTAGTCTTATACTCCATCCACACCAAAACACGAACAGTCCCTTTATTTCCACACCCCAAGGCCCTTAAATATTCCTCTGTCTGAAATACTCTTCACCTACTGTCTGCCTGGAAATTCCCACCTACTCCCTCAAGATCTAACCCCAACCTCCCATAAACCCTCCCCAGAGGTAGGTTCATCCCTCCCTCTTCTCCTTTTGAAGCATCCTCTCTATTTGGGTGTTTCTCAGTAGGGATTAAGATGTAACAGAATAACTTAAGAATCATCTTCAAATCTTGAGCCAACCCTGCTCACCAGTCATTTGGGATTCAGTTCATCTGGGGTGCATAATGGCTAAGAACTCAGGACTCAAGTCAAACAAACTCAGGTTAAGTCCAAGCTTACCTCTTTACCAGCCTCATGACCTTGGTCAGGTTATTTAGCCTCCTTAAGGTTCTATTAACTCCATATGTGGGAATAGAAATAAGCAGGAATGATCAGTTGAGACAAAGTATGTAAAACACTTAGCATGGTACATGACACCTAGGAAGTACTGAACAAATTGTAATGGTTATTGAAAGAATTTTTCTTTATTCTGATCTAGGGAGCCTATCCATTTCTTCCCCACTCCACCCATCTCCAGGTTTGCGAATTAAACTGTATTATGATCCATTGTTTATGTGCCTGTGTCTCCTACTGATGTGAAGCCCTGGAAGGCAGGAGGTATACCTTAGTTCTAGATGCCCTGCACGTAGCACCGTTCTGGGAATAGCATCACCATTTGCAAGCTGAGTGATCTTGGTCAAGTCCATCTGCCTCCTGGGGCCTCAGAGATTTTCAGTGTTGGGGCAAATGATGCTTACCAAGTAAGGCTGTTATGAATACCAAATGAGATTATGGCTGTGAAAGTATTTTGTGTGCTGTGAGGTGAGTTGTCATTATGGTTATGCCATCCAGGGTGAGAAGGGGCTGTCATTTCATAGCCACATATCTGTGGCCCTCCATTCATCTTCTTTTTCATCCCATGGAATATCAGCATGACACTTTTTCCTCAAACATGCTTATTCTATTTATACCATATAAAAGATCCCACCGTGACCTTCACAGTAGCTCCAGCCTTTCCAGGGAGAGAGGGGCTATGAATGCCCTGGTGTGAGCTAAGTTCCTCTCAGTCACTGAGAAAACTGCAGCAAGCCAGATAGACATGATCCTTGTCCCAGTAGAGTTGTAATTCCACTTGAGGGAAAGCCAATGATAAATAAGCAAATCTAAATCTGTAAATAAAATAATTTCAGAGAATAATAATTACTAAGAAAAATGAAGTCGAAAATGTTATAGCAGAATTGGGGGAGCGAACATTATCTAGAGGGGCCAAAGGTCTTTTGAGTAGATGACAGTTGAGCCCAAATCCAAAAGACAAGAAGGATTCAGCCATGTGAAGATCAAGGTTAAAAGGGTTCCAAGCAGAGAAACAACAACAAATTTTTTAAGTAAAGTGGTACAAAATGGAGGTTACTATAGGTGGAAGTACTGGGTCAGGAGAGAGCCGGTGGTGATGAGGCAGGAGGGGTAAACAGGAATGGTACCATGTGAGGTTTTACAGGCTGTGATTAAAAGAGAGATGGAGAAAAAGAGAGAAAGAGAGAATGAGAGAGAGAGAGAGAGATTGAGAGAAATCAAATGAACAATCAAGGGCAAGGAAGTTACTTCGACCTCCGCTTCTCATATGTGCATACATTCAGCAGACACAATTCAACATCTCTTGTGTGTCAGTCATTGTGTCAGGAGATGGAGATACAAAGAAAAAATAAAATATGGAACCAGTTTTTATGAGCCTGGTAACTGAGAATATAGATGCATAAGTAATTTTAATACAAAATGATAAGAAGTCTCCTAGAGGGATATAAAGGCTAAGGGAGCTTAAGGAGGGAGTGATTGTACCTTAGGGATCAGGAAGTTCTCACTGAGAATGAGGACACTTTAACTTGCAAACAAAGTGTAAGCAGTAAGGGGAAAGAATGTTCCAGTCAAAGGGAGCAGCAGATGCTAAGGCACTGGGGTGAACCTGTTCAGAATGAGTGGTTATCTGTTCCGGTGGGGACACACCTAGAAAGGAGGCCCTGGATCTGGCTGGAGAAGGACCTTCAGTGCCACACCAGAGAGTCTGCATTTTATTTATGATGCACTGTATATGCGGAAGCTTTGGAAAGCTCTCCCTAGGACGCGGTAGATGACTGCCTGGAATGAGATATGAGAGGCACTCACTAGAGGTACTGCAACCGAGCAAGTAGGCGACCTGCATTTGCTTCTTGGTCACGGAAATGGGGGAGGGGGGGCGGGTAGACTTCCAAGGCAGGCTGCCCTCTGTCCTCTAAGTAACAGGGCCCTATGTTCCCAAACTTCAGGGCAGAACTGGGTCTCTGGGAAGCTCCCCCTATGTCTCCCTGTAGGTTTCACTGCTGGCGCCCTCTCTCGTCCCCGTCGCTAGCCCCCGCCTCCTATCTCAGGAAGCTTGGGTCTCCCTGGGAGCGGGTCTGCCCTTGGGGGAGGCCTCTCGGCTTTGTGCCCTGCGGCTTGGCGGACCTCGGGGCGGACCGAAGAGGGGCTGGGCGCCCCCCGCGAGCACAGGTGCTAGCTCAGGCAGGAGGCAGCGCCTCGGCGGAGGAGTGCGGAAGGGGGGAAGAAGACGCGCGCCGGAACCTGGTCCCGGGCGCCCGGGTCGGCCGCGGAGGAGCTGCAGCCTCCAACAGGTTCGTAGAACGCAGGCTCGCTCGCGCCGCCGGGCCGCCGCCCCCTCCGCCGGAGCAGGTCCGCGGGAGAGGCCCTCGCCGTAGGCCCCGCGCCGCCGAGCTGCCTCGGGGTGGCCTCCTCCGGCCTCCTCCCTTCTGCCGGCAGCTCTCAGCCGCCACCGGCTCCTCCGGGGAGAGGCGGGGGCGCCGCGGGCTCCCGGCTGCAGCACCACCTGGGGGACAGCTCCCGCGCCCGCGGGGTCCTGCGGCCGGGTCCGCCCTGCCCCCGCGGGCGACGGCCGCCCGCCGCTCCCCGCCCCCCCCCCCCCCCCCCGCCCCGGGGTCCGGGCTCCGCGCCACGGCCTCCGCCGACAGCCCCTCGTCCCCGCCGACTCCGCTCCCCGCGTCAGCACCGCGGCGGCAGCAGCTCCTGCCGGCCGCCTGCTTCCCGGGAGCCGCGAACAAAGCGGGGCGCTGGGGCCTCTCGCGCTCCTCGGCGGTGGCTGGTTTCACCGGTCGGGGATGTCAGCTTCCCCCGGGGCAGCGCGCGCGGCGAGTTGCGGAAGGGAGCCCAGGCACAATCTCGAGCCTCTGGCTTGGGTCTGCAGTTTGCCAAGGCCTGGCCGTGCAATGGCGGGTCCCAGCTGGAGGCCGGAAAGGGGGTGGGAGGGGAGGCAGGCACGGAAGGGTCCTGGACTCCGGGGCGGCGGGCTGGGCCCAGCTGGCAGGGAGGAAGGCGCTGCCGCCCCGCCCCCCGCCCTCCAGACCCCCACTTCCACCCTAGCTCAGCACCACGGACTTCCTTCGGAGAGCCCAGCACAGACGCCCGAGGCTGACAAACTGCAATCTCTGACTCAGGCTGTCCCCGGAACATCCCTAGAAAGTGTGAGGCTGAGTTTCCGCGGGGTGGGGGGGGGGTGCGAGAAACCGCGGGGAAGCCTCGGGAACCGGGCAGCGACTTGCCTCCCCTCCTCCCTGCCCAGGGTTCCGCCCCCACCTCCGAAGTGATGCCCGAGAGGAAAGAGGGGGAAGGGAGGGACCCCGGCACCAGGTCGTGAATGGCGGCTTGGCTCCGGGAGGCTGCAGTTCGTAAGAAAAGAGGTTGAAAGAGCATGAGAAACGGGGAGCTTCCCAAACTGGGAAGCCAGCTCGGCGGGGCGGCCGAAAACCAAACGTGTAAGAGGAAACCTTTTCCGTGCGAGCCCAAGCCCGGAGGGCCCTTGCCTCGCGTCACCCTCTCCATCCCTGGTAGTCTCTACCAGAGACCCGAGACCCCGAGACTAGGAGAATCGAGAGTTGGCGTAGAGGGCTGAGGTGAGTTGCCCAAGGTCACTCAGCTACTTAGTAGCAGAAATGGGCCTAAAGCTCAAGCTCCCCCCAAATCCTGAGCCTGTTGTGTAACATTCACGGAGAAGCGTTTTTAAAACCCCAGATGCAGACAGAAGAGCCGAGCTATTTCCATTCCGAGTCCAAAATCTGAGCTCTGTCACTTAACTAGCAGGTAACCTTAGGAGACTGACCTTCTGAAAGGACAGGTTAAGATACCCACCTGTGGTGAGGATTTAATGAAATGCCTATATAATGAGCTTAGGGCAGTGCCTGGTACACAAAAAGTACTCAAAAAAAAAAAAAAAAACCGAGCTACCGTTTCTGCTATTATTCCCTCTGTAAACATGCGCTGAAGATCTCTTATATGCACTGGCTGTGCACTGGGGAAACAGAGAAGTGTCCTGGGGAGGGCATAGACCGGCAGAGGAAGCAGAAAAGAAATCAGTTGCAATAGGATGAGATAAGTGCTATAATTAAGGTGAGTACACATGGCAATGGGATCTCAGAGGCAGGAATGATGAGCTGTGGGGAGACAAGGGGAAAGGTATCTCAAACAGATGGAACTGTGTGTAAAGGCCAGGAGATGTGAGATCAGAGCCACCAGGGTGATGCCAATGTGCTGGAGAGTCCTCGGGATGGGGACTGTGAAATGAGAGTAGAGAGGAAAGCTGTAGCCAGTCCCCAAAGGGCCTTCTGTGATGAAATATTTCAACCGTATTTTAAAAAATAGAAAGAATAGTATAATAAACCCCCACGTATCCATCATCAAGCTTCAACAGTTGGCCGATTTTGTTTCATCTATACCCACACCCACTCTGATCACACTCACACACACACACATACACAAAGAGCTTATTTTGAAGCAAACCCAAGACATCATATCATTTAGTGCAGAAAGATTTTAACATCAACAACAACACCCTGCCATTCAAATGTTGTTCTACCTTGGAAGTCTATAACTCAAGCTATGACTTTCCTTCCACAATCTGCTCTAAATGTTCCTGTGCTTAGCGGCAGGTTTTGAGAGAGGTCCACCCTATGGTGGTGATGAGCCATGTGCATTAGAGGAACTAGTTCAGAAAAAATGGAGGGTCATCAGCCTCAACAGATTTTACCAAGCCAGAATTGTTTATCTCCACTATCTACACTGTGGCTAGAGACCAGTAACTATTTTCGCAGCTGACCAAAAGACAAATTGAGCCCCATAAAGAAAAAGACAAAAGTAAGAGCTTCCCTTTCAAACTAATCTGAACCATAATGTTATGAGAACAGAAGGCTTGAAGTCATGGAAGTCTCTGATTTGAAAATCATCAAACCCAACAGCCACATTTTATAGATGAGGAAGAGTCAGAAATAGAGAGGAATTTACACAAAGTTCTACAGTGCTGAGACCAGAGACAAGACCTTTGAACTCATAATCAAGAGAGTTCTTGTCAGTTCACCATTCTGCCTGAAAGATTAGGTCTTAGAGTTTTTCAAGCCATAAGCGTGGGATGCCATTTCCTTCCCAAGCTCAAAGAGCTGGAAGGAAGAGGGGGAAGTAGGACAAGAAATGTCCTTCCTGGTTCTCAGAGGATGGCAATGTATGGTAGTTGGTCTTTGAGACACCTTGACATGTTTCCCTTCCATATCCTTCTGAAGAATGTCTATGACAGTGGTACCTATATTCTGGCCACTATGTGCATCTCCCGTCTCATCACTTGGTTCTCATTAACAAATTTCTTCAGTCAGACACCCAGACCTCATTTCTGTACAGTTTTGCCCATCCTGCTTGAATGATGAATATTAAGCCTCTCTTTTTCCATTTGCCCTGAATTGGGCTGCACATCTCTCTCAGCTACAGACTCTGAGGTACAAACAGTGTTTGGCCCAGGTCCTGGCATGACTCAGAGTTCTTGTGCCTTTCTGGAGCATGAAGTCTCTCCTGTTACTGATGAAATGTGATGACTGTGACAGGTATGTGTGCTCCCATCGGGCTCTGGGCACTTCACAAGTCAGCATTTTGCTTTTCAGGGATGTCCCTGCCTGCAAATGGGGAAGGCAGTATCTCACAAGTCCGAGTCTTAGGTGGGCAAATTAAAGCACACATAAGGAGTTCTAAGCATCTCTGGTGAAGAGAAGTCAGCAGAGAATGGTCAATAAAATTGTCTCACTTCTGGAGTATGACTGTAGGCCAAGCTGTAGGAAGGTGATAAAGATAGTAAATTTCAGTTTGTGAAATTATCCCAGCTTTTAGCCTGAGGTGAGACCAATTCAGATATATTACATACATTATATTATTAAATTATATTTTATTTTATTAAGATTATCCATGTTTTCCCTGCTAGCTACAAGTTTGCATTATGTCATATCACTTTTGTGGAAACTACATTAGTACTCGTCTTTGCTAACCAAAGGAATTTTTTTTTTTTTTTACCAAAAGAAATTTGAAGAGGATTTCACTTTTACAAAAGGGTGATTGCTTCTTTGCTTTACACCATTTCGGTTTACAAAAGGTTTCATAAGAACACTCTACTTTCAGATAGAAGGGGAAAGCTGTATTACATTATATTATATTATCCGGGCCTAGTTGAATTGCAGTAGGTAAGATTCCAAAGGGACCTTAGCGAGCATTTATTCCTCCTCCAACATTTACTCATTGAGTGGCTGTTCTGGGTCAGGCATGGTTCTAGGTATGAACAAGACACCTCACGTGCCTGTTCCCATGGGACTTACAGACTTGCAGTAGACATAATTGTTAGTAACAATTTAAAAATTAATAAAAAACATTTAAGCAAACAGATAGATAGGAAGGGTCTGTCTGAAATGGCTACGTGAAACTCAAGCCCAAATAACAAGAAGTCAGTCATGTGAGGATATGGGGCCAAACACTCCAGCAAAGGAAATAGCTCTGGAAGAGGCCCTAAATGTGAGCCTGGTCTCTTTGGGGACAGACAAGAAAAGGCCAGTGTGGTTGGAGCAGGAAGCAAGGGGAAGAGTGGCAGCAAATGAGGGTGGAGAGGGGACAGAGACCAGTCTCTCACACATAGCCTTCTATGCCAGGGTCAAGGTTTGGGATTTTATTCTAAATGCAATGGATTGTCACTGGATGATTTTAAGCAGGAGAGTGATATAAACTGATTTTGCTTTAAAAAGATGCCTCTGGTTACTGCATGGAGAATGGATGATGTGAACCTGCTGGGCTAGGCAAAGAGCAAGCAGAGAGGGTGAGACACAGCTTCACCCACTGAGGTGCTCAGCAACCATTGAAGTGCTCCGCACCCAGCAGAGGAACCAGAATAGCAGAGCCCTGGGGGAAGGGCTGCCATGGGGAGGGATGTGCAAGGCATTGTGGGAACCCAGAGCTAAGAACTCATTGAACCTGGGAGGCATCAGGGAGGACTTTGTGGAAGTGGACAATGGCTGTTGGAGCACAGCTAGGAAAGGAGAGAGCAGGGCTGGTACCAAGGACAGAGGGCATGAGCTGGGGGCCAGGCTGCCAGGGTTCAAATCCCAGCCACACCATTTCATAGCTGTATGGACTTAACACAAGTTGCTTACTTCTCCGTGTCTCAGGGTCCTCATCTTGAAAGTGGGGATGACAATAATCACAATATTTATTTCAAGGGAGTTCTGTGAGGATCAAGGAAGTTAAACTTTGTGAAGCCCTCAGACAGTGCCTGGCAAGCACTTAGACAGTGCTGTTATGTGTG